CCCCCCCCCCCGCCGCCGCCGCCTCCGCCGCCTCAGGCGGGCAGGCAGGTAATGTGTGTGGGGGAGCGGATCCTTCCAGGCCGGGAGGGGGGACGAAACAGGCCTTTTCCCCCCCCTCTCCTCCCACCTCAGCCGCCCTCCGCCTGAGGCTCAGCCCGGTTTTTCCCCCCGGTTTTCTCTCTCTCCAGCGCAGGTCGTAACCTGAAGGAGTGGCTGCGGGAGCAGTTCTGCGACCACCCCATCGAGCACTGCCAGGACACCCGGCTGCACGACGCGGCCTACGTGGGGGACCTGCCCACCCTCCAGAGCTTGCTGCAAGAGGAGAGCTTCCAAAGGTGAGGGGGGGGCTTCTCACACCCCACCCTACCCTGCCCTCCTCCCCCCCTCAGCTTTTGGAGACCCTCCCAGGGCCAAGGGTGCGAGGTCCTGCTCTTTTTTGAGGGCTAGTGGCTCCCCAGGGGCTGCTGGCCTCACGGCCTGCTGCTTTTGGAGACACCCCCCTCCTCCCTCCCTCCTTGCTGTGTTTTTAGGGGAGGGGTGTCAAGTTGGGAGGATGCTCCGCTCGCCCCCTCCCCAAAATCATCCCTCCCCGCTCCCTCCAGCACTTGTGGCCATCCACAAGTTCTTTCCAGATCAGGGTGGATGCGTAACGCCCTGAAAACAGGAGCCTGTGTGTCAGGGGGAAAAAACATACAAACAAGGATCACCAATCCTACATAAATCTGAAGCACCCTGTGTTACAAAATCTGCCCCGTGCTACGTCCGTGACCGTGGGGATAGTTTGATTAATTTTCCTGCACCGTGGAGAAAACTGCATAGAGTGCAGAATGTCTCCCGGCCTCGGAAAAAAGTGTCCTTTCAGCAGAAGTGAGAATGACCCAGCCCCTCTTCCTGCCCCCTGGGCAGCTGGGGCTCTTCAGTCCCTTGGTCTGAGGTTTTTTGCCTTATTTTTTGTCTCATGCCGCGTGGGAACCCTGTGGCAGCAGGTCCAGGCATCCTTCCCTGCAGGAAAAAACAAAGTTTGGTGGGTTTGGTGCTGGACCCACAGCACCGTCACACAGGGGATGGAATGAGCAGAGAAGTGACTTCTTTGAATTTGGGGGTAAGTATGGGGTGGAGATATCCCAAACCTCCCAGGTTAAAGGGAGCACTCTTACCATAAGACTTGACAGCTGGAGGCTCGATGTGGGGTTTATACTACTCCTCATCCTAAAACATGGTTGAAAAAAAATATATTGTGGCATTCATCTCCTAGTGTACTCTGTAAATGCGCTGTATAAAACCTGCTTTGTCCTGTACCAGTTACGTGGGCCTGCATGGAGTGAGCTAGAAGAGCAAATCCACTGCTGGGCTGGCCAAAGAGCAATTTTGCCAGCCTACGTTGGCCTTAAAGAAATCCTTTCCTCTGCTAAAATGGTGCCCACGGTGTTTTGAAGAGAGTTTGGGAGTGAGGTCTGGATGTTGATGAGATTTGTAGGGCTAGCCTGAGATCTGGATGAGCATGAGGAATGCTCCGGGTTATTTCAGAGGGGATCTAAGCAGCTGTCAGCCACAGCTCTTTCCATAAATTGGAGAAGGCTCTTATGCCAGTACAGGCTTCCGACAAGGACGCTAATGGCCTAGTTATGCTTTTCAGTGCAGGATGGCCACACCTCCCAATCTTACTCCTTGCTGGCAGGCCTGAGTTTCCCTGGATTTGTGTTTATGTCATCTCACGGTGCCTGGCTGAGTGTGGACGTGGCCAGTGGTGTGATACGGATGTGTACCTGCCTTTCCCATGTCCTCCTGCTGTTTCCCTGCTGCTTTGACAACCTTCTGCCCCTTTTGGAGCAGCTCGAAATTAAGCTGTGGTGGTCTCCAGCTTGGTCACTTTTGATCTCCCTTTAAATTAGGGATTATTATTATTTTTTTTAATTGGCAATTTTGACTGAGTTTTGAGACAGAACAGGAGCCTGTGTGTCAGGGGGAAAAAACATACAAACAAGGATCACCAATCCTACATAAATCTGAAGCACCCTGTGTTACAAAATCTGCCCCGTGCTACGTCCGTGACCGTGGGGATAGTTTGATTAATTTTCCTGCACCGTGGAGAAAACTGCATAGAGTGCAGAATGTCTCCCGGCCTCGGAAAAAAGTGTCCTTTCAGCAGAAGTGAGAATGACCCAGCCCCTCTTCCTGCCCCCTGGGCAGCTGGGGCTCTTCAGTCCCTTGGTCTGAGGTTTTTTGCCTTATTTTTTGTCTCATGCCGCGTGGGAACCCTGTGGCAGCAGGTCCAGGCATCCTTCCCTGCAGGAAAAAACAAAGTTTGGTGGGTTTGGTGCTGGACCCACAGCACCGTCACACAGGGGATGGAATGAGCAGAGAAGTGACTTCTTTGAATTTGGGGGTAAGTATGGGGTGGAGATATCCCAAACCTCCCAGGTTAAAGGGAGCACTCTTACCATAAGACTTGACAGCTGGAGGCTCGATGTGGGGTTTATACTACTCCTCATCCTAAAACATGGTTGAAAAAAAATATATTGTGGCATTCATCTCCTAGTGTACTCTGTAAATGCGCTGTATAAAACCTGCTTTGTCCTGTACCAGTTACGTGGGCCTGTATGGAGTGAGCTAGAAGAGCAAATCCACTGCTGGGCTGGCCAAAGAGCAATTTTGCCAGCCTGCGTTGGCCTTAAAGAAATCCTTTCCTCTCCTAAAATGGTGCCCACGGTGTTTTGAAGAGAGTTTGGGAGTGAGGTCTGGATGTTGATGAGATTTGTAGGGCTAGCCTGAGATCTGGATGAGCATGAGGAATGCTCCGAGTTATTTCAGAGGGGATCTAAGCAGCTGTCAGCCACAGCTCTTTCCATAAATTGGAGAAGGCTCTTATGCCAGTACAGGCTTCCGACAAGGACGCTAATGGCCTAGTTATGCTTTTCAGTGTGGGATGGCCACACCTCCCGATCTTACTCCTTGCTGGCAGGCCTGAGTTTCCCTGGATTTGTGTTTATGTCATCCCACGGTGCCTGGCTGAGTGTGGACGTGGCCAGTAGTGTGAAAGGGACGTATACCTGCCTTTCCTTGCTGTTTCCCTGCTGCTTTGACAATTTGCTGGCAGGCCTGAGTTTCCCTGGATTTGTGTTTATGTCATCTCACGGTGCCTGGCTGAGTGTGGACGTGGCCAGTGGTGTGATACGGATGTGTACCTGCCTTTCCCATGTCCTCCTGCTGTTTCCCTGCTGCTTTGACAACCTTCTGCCCCTTTTGGAGCAGCTCGAAATTAAGCTGTGGTGGTCTCCAGCTTGGTCACTTTTGATCTCCCTTTAAATTAGGGATTATTATTATTTTTTTTAATTGGCAATTTTGACTGAGTTTTGAGACAGGGTTTGTCCCTTGTGCTTATGTGCAGCTCCTGACACAGAAGAGCTGCGATAAAGCCCTGGCACTGCTCTGGTATGTAGGTAGTCTCTGGCTACCTCTGTGTAGCACCTAGTCAGGTTATTGGCAGGAGCTTTTCCAGGCTGCTATAAAGTGCCAAAAATCACAGAATCCCATGGGGTTGGAAGGGACCTCTGGAGGTCATCTGGTCCAACCCCCTGCCAAAGCTTTAGTAGTTCAAATTAGAATGGCATGGCTTTGCCTCTCAAATCTGTTGTACCTTTTACACATCTCATTTAACTTTCAGGAGTGTCTACTCAGATATTTATAGAATCACAGAATCACATGGGGTGGGAAGGGACCTCTGGAGATCATCTAGTCCAACCCCCTGCCAGAGCAGGTCCACCCAGAGCAGGTCCCACAGGAATGTGTCCAAGCAGGGTTGGAATGTCTCCAGAGAAGGAGACTCCACCACCTCCCTGGGCAGCCTCTTCCAGGGCTCTGCCACCCTCACAGGAAAGAAGTTCCTCCTCATGTTGAGGTGGAACTTCTTCTATTCAAGTTTGTGCCCATTTCCACTTGTCCTGTCCCTGGGCACCTCGGAAAAAAAGACCGGCCCCATCCTCCTGACACCCTCCCTTTAAGTATTGATAAGCATTGATCAGATGCCCCCTCAGTTTTCTCTTCTCCAGATTAAAAAGAGACTCAGCCTCTCCTCATAAGGGAGATACTCCAGGCTCCTCATCATCTTTGTAGGCCTCTGCTGGACCCTCTCCAGCAGTTCCCTGTCCTTCTGGAACTGGGGAGCCCAGAACTGAGGAAGAAAAGCTTCAAGGGAGCTGTTAGTGCTCTCCCATTATCCTTCTCCAGGGCTGGGGGAGGTGGGGTAGTGCAAGGTGGCAGGAAGCCCTCTCTGACCCGATGCTTTTCACCCCCCATGGCAGCCGGATCAACGAGAAGTCGGTGTGGTGCTGTGGCTGGCTGCCCTGCACGCCGCTGCGCATCGCGGCCACCGCTGGCCACGGGCCCTGCGTGGACTTCCTCCTGCGCAAAGGGGCCGAGATCGACCTGGTGGACGTGAAGGGGCAGACCGCCCTCTACGTAGCCGTGGTCAACGGGCACCTGGAGTGTGCCAAGATCCTCCTGGAAGCTGGAGCTGACCCCAACGGCAGCCGGCACCACCGCAGCACCCCTGTGTACCACGCGGCACGCGTGGGCCGGGCGGACATCCTCCAGGAACTGATCAGGTGAGAGTTTGGGTACAAGCTGGAGATGATCCTGGTGGGGTGAAGAGTTCCTCTACCTCCCTCTCTTTGGGATCTTCTCCCCCATGGGGCTTGGAGCATCCATTCCCTCCTCTCATGTCCAGTCCCTCCACAAGCCTGGTGAAGCTGGCCAAGAGGTGGACAGGAGAGAAGGTGGAGAGATGACTAAAGAGACATCCATGTCTTCTCCATCGCTTGGCCCTGACAACAGGTCTGTGCCCTCCTGTGTGACTCCCGTGACTCTTCTCCTAAGACAAAGCCCAAGAGAGGATGTCTACTCCTTGGGATACCTTGCCAGCAATATTAAAAGCAAGATTCTGGAAACCTTTCAGGATTAAAAATTAACTGGAGTTTGTCCAATATCTTTTTATTAGACAATGTCTCTCCCAAGGCTGCTAAGCTAATACCAAATTGTCAGATTGCCCAAAATTTCAAATATCTCAGAGTACGGATTTCACAGATCTGTTCAGAGTTGCTCGCTTTAAAATGCAGTCCTATGTTACAGAGCTCACTCTGAGGTTTTAAAAATGTTGATTTGAAAGATTTGGCAGGGAGAATGCAATGAGGAAGACACGTTTACTGAGATATAAGGAAATATTTCAGTGTATTCAGCTCGAGAGAGCCTCAGTGTCCTGCAAAGAAAGCCCAGCCCAGTTTTGGCTTGCTGCAGGTTTCTAAACATCACCTGGTTTATTGGATTTTTTTTTTAGTCATATGGTAGCACAATGAGGAATCCTGAATCCTGCCACACTTGCTGAACCAGCTAACCAAGCAATAGGAGCAGTTGTATCCATGAATGGTAAATAAATACACACATAGCTATGGAATGGCAATCCATTTTATCAGATGGCTGGAGGAAATATTTATGGTTATATTGCCAGGGTATAGATTACTTTCCTAACAGCTTGTGGTGTGAGCCTGCTGCGATGGGATTGGACTCTGGCATTACACTTGCAGTGTAACTGGGGGCTGGCCCCGTGTATTTAGGACAAGAGGATCCTTTCCCCACACTAAAAATGGTGAAAAAAAGATCTGACAAATCATCCTGGTGCCTCAGGAAAAAAGCAGAATTCTCCTTATAAAAGCAGATTTTTTTATTTTACATTGAACTGGGGCTTTCCACTTAAAATTTTGATGACAATAATGAAAAAGAAGAACTGAAATGAAGGTGTACCTGCTGTCTGGTCAGGACAGCAGCCATACAACAGCCCTACAGAAGTCCCACAGCAGCACGGATGACTATCCGAATGCTCACGTAGTCTGATTTTAGAGGTTTGTTTACCTACAGGGAACATGTCTGATTGCCTGTAGAGAACACACAGCTGGTTTTTTTTTTTTCCCCTCTATGCCCTAACATAGGTGAAGTCATGGAAATTGAGCAAAGTGCTGTGAAAGTCCCCAAAAGATGGCAATGTCCCCAGCCTCACTCAGCAGCGTTGTTACTGCCTAGCTCCCCATTTCTTCTGCTTTTCTCCACCCCACAGGTCTCCTGAGATCTCAGCCAAGACGTTCATGCTTGGGAGATCTTGTGTGTTGGGGTAAAAATACACTGCATTCAGCTCTTAGACAGCTTTCCCCCATCCTCCTGACACCCTCCCTTTAAGTATTGATAAGCATTGATCAGATCCCCCCTCAGTTTTCTCTTTTCCAGACTAAAAAGAGACTCAGCCTCTCCTCGTAAGGGAGATGCTCCAGGCTCCTCATCATCTTTGTAGGCCTCTGCTGGACCCTCTCCAGCAGTTCCCTGTCCTTCTGGAACTGGGGAGCCCAGAATTGAGGAAGAAAAGCTTCAAGGGAGGTGTTAGTGCTCTCCCATTATCCTTCTCCAGGGCTGGGGGAGGTGGGGTAGTGCAAGGTGGCAGGAAGCCCTCTCTGACCCGATGCTTTTCACCCCCCATGGCAGCCGGATCAACGAGAAGTCGGTGTGGTGCTGCGGCTGGCTGCCCTGCACGCCGCTGCGCATCGCGGCCACCGCCGGCCACGGGCCCTGCGTGGACTTCCTCCTGCGCAAAGGGGCCGAGATCGACCTGGTGGACGTGAAGGGGCAGACCGCCCTCTACGTAGCCGTGGTCAACGGGCACCTGGAGTGTGCCAAGATCCTCCTGGAAGCTGGAGCTGACCCCAACGGCAGCCGGCACCACCGCAGCACCCCTGTGTACCACGCGGCACGCGTGGGCCGGGCGGACATCCTCCAGGAACTGATCAGGTGAGAGTTTGGGTACAAGCTGGAGATGATCCTGGTGGGGTGAAGAGTTCCTCTACCTCCCTCTCTTTGGGATCTTCTCCCCCATGGGGCTTGGAGCATCCATTCCCTCCTCTCATGTCCAGTCCCTCCACAAGCCTGGTGAAGCTGGCCAAGAGGTGGACAGGAGAGAAGGTGGAGAGATGACTAAAGAGACATCCATGTCTTCTCCATCGCTTGGCCCTGACAACAGGTCTGTGCCCTCCTGTGTGACTCCCGTGACTCTTCTCCTAAGACAAAGCCCAAGAGAGGAGTCTCCTTTTCTGAGCCCACCATCCACTATTTAGCCAGGACCAAATCTTGCAAAGCCTCTTCCCCACCACCTCCATCTCAACTGCCAGGTCCACGCCCCTGGCTGAATTTATAAGTGAGGTGGGTCTGCCAGTGAACCAAAAATGGTTTGGAAACACATCTCTCCTTTGTCTAGCTTGGCTGCTCGGACCATCTTCTGCCAGGGGGAGGACAGGGAGTTGCCAACACTGGCTGTTCTTTACTGCCTGGTGTTTACCCATCACTAGGGCACCCTCCATGCCAGCTGGCTTGGTCTCCCCTTGCCAGATACACACACAGCTCCATCAAAGGGGTGGCATCTCTGGGGCAGGGGGTGGTGGCCATTACTAAGAGGTGATAAGCAGTAACCTTAGCTGGTGGGTGGTGACCTCCTATCCCTTAGGAGACTTCCAGCAGTGGGTGGGCTCAAGGTCTAGCAGTGGACTGTGCAAACTTGAGTTTCTTCCTCCTTGGCATGTCATGATTCCTTTCTTCTCCATTGGAAGCCTTTTTGCAGAAGGGACCGTGCTGAGAAACTATATGGCACCAAATAGTAAGGGGACATAAAGGGGAAAATGTAGCTTGTAGAAAGAGAGAAAGAAAGTTTATTTGGATTCACACAGAAGCAGTCTCCAAGGAATCCTTTCAATGACTGCAAATCTAGAAAATAACAGCAAAAAGGATTTGAATAGAAAAAAATTAAAAATGTCTGGGGATTTTCTCCTTGCGTTGTTGCTTATGGGAAAGTTAATTTTCATACAAGTGCAGCTTTGAGGAAGCTGGCAAGTAGAAAGAAGGGGAGGCAGTCCTTCAGCTCGAGAGAGCCTCAGTGTCCTGCAAAGAAAGCCCAGCCCAGTTTTGGCTTGCTGCAGGTTTCTAAACATCACCTGGTTTATTGGATTTTTTTTTTAGTCATATGGTAGCACAATGAGGAATCCTGAATCCTGCCACACTTGCTGAACCAGCTAACCAAGCAATAGGAGCAGTTGTATCCATGAATGGTAAATAAATACACACATAGCTATGGAATGGCAATCCATTTTATCAGATGGCTGGAGGAAATATTTATGGTTATATTGCCAGGGTATAGATTACTTTCCTAACAGCTTGTGGTGTGAGCCTGCTGCGATGGGATTGGACTCTGGCATTACACTTGCAGTGTAACTGGGGGCTGGCCCAGTGTATTTAGGACAAGGGGATCCTTTCCCCACACTAAAAATGGTGAAAAAAAGATCTGACAAATCATCCTGATGCCTCAGGAAAAAGGCAGAATTCTGTTTATAAAAGCAGATTTTTTTATTTTACATTGAACTGGGGCTTTCCACTTAAAATTTTGATGACAATAATGAAAAAGAAGAACTGAAATGAAGGTGTACCTGCTGTCTGGTCAGGACAGCAGCCATACAACAGCCCTACAGAAGTCCCACAGCAGCACGGATGACTATCCGAATGCTCACGTAGTCTGATTTTAGAGCTTTGTTTACCTACAGGGAACATGTCTGATTGCCTGTAGAGAACACACAGCTGGTTTTTTTTTTTTCCCCTCTATGCCCTAACATAGGTGAAGTCATGGAAATTGAGCAAAGTGCTGTGAAAGTCCCCAAAAGATGGCAATGTCCCCAGCCTCACTCAGCAGCGTTGTTACTGCCTAGCTCCCCATTTCTTCTGCTTTTCTCCACCCCACAGGTCTCCTGAGATCTCAGCCAAGACGTTCATGCTTGGGAGATCTTGTGTGTTGGGGTAAAAATACACTGCATTCAGCTCTTAGACAGCTTTCCTTGGGCCTTGTTCTGTGTGAGCTTAATTTAAATGAGGCTCTTCCTGAGGCATCCTCAGAATTAAGTGTTTGGTTCAGCATTTGCTGGGTAGGAGCTAGCCCCTACTGGGTTCAGCAAGAGCTGTGCTTGCCTTTAGGCAAGAATTTGTCCACAGGTGGTTTCCTTACTTGGTTTATTAACTGCAGAAAGGAACAGAATAAGGAATATAATCTATAAAGATAGAAAAAACCCCCTAGTTCTCGGAGTGCTCAGTCTGCAATTTTGGGAGGTGGACTCTGCGTGGAGAAGGGACGAGGCTTTGCTTGATCTGCAGTGCTGCACTTTAAACCAGCCAGTGGATTGTGTTGTTGTCCTCCTTGTTCCTGTCCAAGTTGCATGTGAAATAGATGGAGTTAGTGTCCTCAGTGATTGGGTGTTACTCAGCCTGGGGGAAATAAGTGCTTGTTTCTGCCATCTCTTCTGTCGTTTTTCAAATTCCATGCTTTTCCAGAGCAGGACACAGCCTTTTTGCTCTTGTTTATTTGGCCACGTTCTTCACTTCCTCCAAAAAAAATGAAAAGAACCAAAGCCAATAAAGCCTTGTTTTTCGCTTGTTCACAACTTAGTGCCATCCTTACTTCCCAGAATGTAGTCACTGCTTCTGTTTGATGAGGATGCTGATGCCCATTGAGCAGGGCTTTAGCCTGCTCGCATGCCTTCTCCACACCACGGCAAGTCACAGAATCACAGAATCTTAGTGGTTGGAAGGGACCTCTGAGATCATCGAGCATTCATTAGCATCCAACATGACATGCTCAGGGCTGAGCCATCCCTTGTGCTAAGGCACATCCTTCAGGAGGGCAAGGAGAGATGTTCCTCAGCTGCTCTCTCCCGAGCCTGGGCTGTTGTGGGCAGAGAAACAACTTGGCTTCTTGAAGATCAGACCGTGCTGGGTATGCCATCCCTGCTCAGAAGCTCTGCCAGGCCCCTCTCAGGTAGGTGTGGGTGGTTCTTGGGTGGTGGACCCCAAAGGTACCAAAGAGAGACAGGGTGCTCCAGGTGTCCTTCAGTCTCGTTCCCTGCCAGTTTGTCACCTTGGGGTGTGCCCTTGTTTCCAAACCTTTGCTCTTCTCTCTCAAACCACCAGCCACCAAGCTGGTGAGGGGCCTGGAGAACAAGTCCTATGAGGAGAGGCTGAGGGAACTGGGCATGTTTAGTTTGGAGAAGAGGAGGCTGAGGGGAGACCTC